AATGGTAATGAGTCTAATACATGGGAAATAAATTTCATCGGCAGATAAAAAATAGATTTTCACAAAAGCCGGTTAATCTTATTAGGTTTAGACATACATGTACTTGAAAGTGAGAATTTGATTTCATAACGTCGTGATTTTCTTAGACATTTATCATCAAACTTTACTCAGACTTATATACAAGACAAAGACTCAAAAAGCAACATTAGGCTTATTTTTAAGAAGAGAAGTAGTCTCATTAATTCAATGGGCGTAAAGATTGGTTTCCTGCATAATGGACTGTTATTTAAGCGTGCAAAAATCGGTACGGTAATCAAATTATAACTTCTAATATGACTTAGGAAAAGAATGCAGGCTCTGAACCAAACAAAATTTTTGCAAACACTTTCTGACGGTTTGTTTGTTTATTTCATTTTACGCCTTTTCCCGACAGTATTTTAGTCATATAGGCACTTTCTGGCGGCCAAAAATGAAAAAAAAAATGATTGGTGATAGAGAAGCAGTATATACAAAAAGATCCACGGATGCTTCTATGAGGATCTAGATGAGAAATACTACGATGTACAGTTCGTTTTGCAAAATTTGAGGACAGATGTTTCAGCCTATGATTTGGATGGTCTTTTGGAAAGTTTCATTTTTGATTGTTTGGATTTTTACGACACGTCAACACTTAACTGGCCATATCATGCCGAATGCTATAAAATGCTTAAAATGTTAATAATATGTTAAACTTTGTAAATGACAATAAAAATAATCCAATTAGATCCTAGAGTACAATCTCTTTCAAGTAATCAATGATGTTTTTGATGGAATTGTATTAAAGAGTTCTTTGAGTGAGTTTATATAATAAAATGGGCCTGTGAAAAATCATGACATTCAAGAAGAAAATGCTTGACAGTAAAATTTTTATTACAAGCTACACAGAAAGGGGCATTGTCATTCATGAGGAGATAGGAGTGGGTTATTTTAGTGTGTCCAATTCGGCATCGAAGAAGAACTGTTTGATCATGTCGGTTTGACAGAGATAGAGATGGTGACACGTCAAGAGATGGGTTTATATCGTGAAGTTTATTAAAAACCTTATTGTCCAAATTTGCTTTTCATTCAGATGATACGAGTTTATTTATAGCCGGTCTAAAATCACAAGCAGGTAAGTCAAGTTTTTGAAAATTTAATGATTGTTTTAAATTAGCTAAAGCATCTACTTTTTCATTTCCTCGTATACCTACATGACTTGGATAGTTCGTAAAGCCCTTTGGGACTGAATTGTCTTAATGTTCGTCTTGCCTTGCTTCGTCGGGCCCTTGTAGGTGATTTTCTTGTTGCTCTGTCTTCCTTTAGGACATTGAGTACTTTTGTTATGGTCATTGGGTTTACTTTTATATGTTTCTACATGATCATTTTAGTGTTTTACTTATTTAACCTTTTGTAACCATGACAACTCTTAGAATTTTACTTGGCGGGGATTCATTTTATTTACACTGTCTCGTTTATAGGAACATGGTGGGGCTAAGAGCGAGGTTTGGTGCACCATTAACCGGTTTAAACTCCCCAGCAGTCATTATTATACTGCTGACCGTTCCAAGGCGGCGCCCCACTGTGCTCCTCAGATGTATGTCTATGTTGTTTCATATTGTTTTGGTGACACTTTTGCTTGTGTCCCTTGTTGTTTTCTCGTCTACGGTAAGTATCTTCCCCATTGCCTCTAGTTTTTTTATTTCTTTGATTAACGCCTCCCCCCTTCCCCCGGTCTCATGTTCCCTTCCCCTTTGTGGGCCTATTATTATTTTCTTTGAATTCCTAATCAGTTACAAATTATTTATCATTTAATGATTAACCTGTCCGTGCTCTGTCTTTGCCCTGTCCTGTTTTTGTTTGGGGTCCGCCTGGGCTCCTTGCCATTGGTTCTTGTTGCTGGGTCATATGGGGGTTGCGTTCATTGAACGCCGCCTTTCCTTGTTGATCTTGTTCATCATATTTTTTGGAATCCAATATAATTTAACATATTTTGTTTTAAGTATATCATGAAATCGTAAAAGAAGTTTCTTTATCATGATATTGTCAGATTTTTTTATTTTTAATGGATATTAAAACAGAAAGCGAGTCAGAAAATATCACAAATTTATCATGGGTATGCTGTACTATGTATGACAATGCTAAATCTATAGCTTTTGCTTCAGTAGTAAACATTTAACGGCACGTCAACACATTCTGCATTATCTGGTAACCTCATATTAGATGTTACTTTCAAACACAGACGCACCTACTGTGCAACCTTCTTTTGAACCGTACGTATAGATATGTATAAAATCATCATGTTCTTCCTTAATTGCTAGAAACTTCTTTTTGAAATGTTCAGGTGAATTTTATGACTTTTTTATATTTGAAAGGTTAATATTTATTTCCGGGGAATTATAAGTCCAAGGTGGAATATCCTCATCGTCATTTTGAAGGATACTGTCTGGATTAATTTTAAGTTTATCTAAATCATCTTTTAAACGAAGACCTAATGGTTTGATTTCCTTTGGTTTGTTAACAAAGTTTTCAGTATAACTTTGTTTGAAATTAATATTTTTAGCTGGATTTTGCTATTAGATGAAATTCTAGTTGCATATTGAAGTGATAGTTTTTTTCGACGAAGATGAAGCAATAGTTCCCCAGCGTCCGCATATAGACTTCAACAGGTGAAGTGCGAAAAGCACCTAAAGCTAAACGTAAACCCTGGTGATGTATGGTATCTAGCATTTGAAGGCAGACCCATATACTACAGAACCATAATCTAATTTTGATCGGATAAGACTTCTGTATAATTTCAGTAATGTGGAAGAATTTGATCCCCAATTTGTACTTTATAAAACCTTTAGTAAATTAAAAGCTTTTAGGCATTTAGTTTTCAAATGTTTAATATGTGGTATGAAAGAAATATCTTTATCAAATATAATTCCTAAAAACTTAGCTTCATCAACTACTGGAATTGTAGAACCGGATATGTAAAGTTCAGGGTTATAACATATTTTTATGGTGTTTCCGCAATCGACAAAAATGAACGCATTTGGTTTTTGACTTTGAAAATTTAAAACCATTTTCTATTGCCCACTTTTGAATTTTACCTAAATTTTGTTGAAGTTGCCTTTCAATTGTTCTAATACTTTTCGATCAATAGCAGAATATTACCCAATTTAACATTTCATGTAAATGAAGGGAGGTAATAAGAAATTTATTTTCTATAAATTCTAAGTCAGGTTTTCCAATAAGAAATGAATGCATGTATTTTATTGATTAAATAAAATGTGCACAAATATTTGCAGTACACATTTTACATATTCTTCGATGTTTGAAAATTGTTTTATTTGCATAATTATATACATATATAAGTTTTTGCAAGTGTGGTATTCACACAGTAACAATATCAATCACAAAACATACAGGATCTTTAAGCCCAGCATCCTTAAGATCTTTTAGGATACCATATTTCAAAGTAGTATTGTAATATAGATAAATACAGAATCCCTAAAGAAAGCTCAACACGGCAAAATTGAAAATGTTGCAGGCTCAGTATTGTAAGCCTTCTCAAGATCAAAGAAAATTGATACCAGGTGTTGTTTATTTACAAAGGCTTCTCTAATAAAAGTTTCAAAAAATATGATAAACAAGATCAACAAGGAAAGGCGGCGTTCAATGAACGCAACCCCCATATGACCCAGCAACAAGAACCAGTGGCAAGGAGCCCAGGCGGACCCCAAACAAAAACAGGACAGGGCAAAGACAGAGCACGGACGGGTTAATCATTAAATGATAAATAATTTGTAACTGATTAGGCATTAAAAGAAAAGAATAATATGCCACAAAGGGAGGGACAGGAGACCGGGGAAGGGGGTGGCGTTAATCAAAGAAATAAAAACTAGAGGCAATGGGAAGATACTTACCCTGGACGAGAAATCAACAAGGGACACAAGCAAAAGTGTCACCAAAACAGTAAGAAGTCGTACAAGATGAGCGTTTGTACGAAAACCTGACTAATAAAATTATAGTTCGCACAATTAGAGAGGGTTTTCACAACAAGAGCAGTTATATATCGATAAGACATGGAATTAACGATTTTCAGAGAACAGTGGTAAACATTCTGACATGTTAAATGACGTCCAATTCATCACAATGGCATCACGATTGGCGTTCAAATCCATGCCGACCAAGCTGACCTTCGCAAGATGTACTCGTACCTTACGGAAGACTTGGAGATTCCATAAAGATTACAGTATTATTTTATTATATTATATTGTCAACTCTGCATGCATGTATTTTACCATATAATACTAACCTCGTATTAAGATAAACTGTCTTGTTCAGGAAATACGAAAAAAATACATTAGCTAGAAATATTCTATTACCGGCTTGAATGCTGTTATACAGAATTTGATACAATAGTGATTCATTTTTCTTGTTGTTGATACGAACCATCTGTCAGTCTGTCTCTTTCATGGGGTTAATTTATAATTTGTTTATTTATTCCCTGCATTTTTCTTATTTAATCTATAATTATATGAATTTTAAAATATATTCTACATTTTCCAGGAAAAGGTGTTTGCTGATGTAATGTTACATTTTGGACGAAAAGATAGCAAAAGTATGCGAATTCTGAAATCTTCTGACTTCTGGTTTGACAACAGATGCGGAAGTGTCATCAAAACTGATAAAAAACTAATAACGATTTTAGATTTAGTTATAGTACCTTTGTGTCAGTAATCACTGTGGTATTTTACTATTGTGATACTTTTTTGTGACTTGTATCATGTTGTTTATCAAATATTTAATTAATAGTTTTACAGGTGTTTTGTGGTTTTAATTATCTTAAACATATATTAAATCAATTATTTACCAGTCAGCTTTTGAATATGACACTATTCATTAAATCAGCAATTGATTAGTGAGCCATTAAATATGGGGTGATATTCACCGGCAAAATGTCATATTGATCTCGGCGAATGAAATAGGGCCTGTAAGTCTCGTTTACTTTCACTTTCGATTTACCACTTCCGGGTACATCGGCAGACTTATTTACCGTTACGCATATAGGTAACCCGAAGAACTCGAGGGATATAGAAGTTAAATTTGTTTCGGTCCTCTTCAGATTTGAAGGAATGGATAGCGCGGGTCAAAAAATGCAGGTAGGTCAATTATCTGACGGAAAAAATGAGGGATTTATAGAGTTTAATAAAACTAGTTTATTTTCGGATAGTGACAATTGTTTCGGATGTTTTGTCAAGGTAGTGAATTCTAGTTGTTTAGCTTTTAGTATTGTTTTAACTACTGATGTGAGAAATTAATTCAAACCATTTTAACTTATTGAAATAAACAATGCAGAAACACTTTAATTCTAGTGTATATTAAAGTTATACAAAATTCGGACATTGCACAGTAATTCGGATATTTTTTCCTTTCCATTTTATTCTTGTTCCTTTTTCAATTATATATACATGTTAATAAAGTACCTAGCAAATAATGATTGAATTAAAAAATATAATATTTGATTAAACCATTTCAGATGTATAGACAAGGAGGTATATGACAAGTATATAGAATATACAGTTGTTCAATATGGACCATTAATCAACTGATTGCACTGCCTATGATCCTGAAATATCTATACATCAAAGGTAAATACATGTAAAATAGTTGGATTAATTTTTAGTTGAGATCGGAAAGATAAACAATTATCAAAATATGTTATTATAATTTAATAACTTTTGGATTTCACTGCATGATAATTGATAAGTAAATAAAACATTAAAAATAGTCATGTTTCACATTCAAGAAGATCAATATTTTTGACTGTTATATATTATGTGTTGTTGTTTATCTTCAATGTTTATTTACTTCAAATATGAAATTTTTCTGTCAATTATGACCAGCTTATTAAATGTAATGTAAATATATATCTAGAGTAACAGATTTATTGATTTTTCATTCTGCAGATAAAAAGGGAAAAGATGAAGGAGGATTTGTCCATGAAGACCTTTATTGCAACTACCATCTTCCAGTTCCTTAATTTGAGAATGATATCAGAGAACACACAGTTACAGTGAAATATTAGTTTAATATAAGCCACTGAAAATAGTCAAATGTACTTTCCTGAAGAAGATGAATGACATCCAGCACAAAAATCTTAATGTATAAAGAGTATGATTTTATGGTGTTTGACACTATGATCTTGTTAACATGTTAATGTCACAATGATAGAAACAGAGTAAAATATCCACATTTCATTGCAGTTTTAAGTATTAAAACTAGATACTCTATATATATACCAAAGCTGATAACACACCAGAGATAAGGTGTTTTCATAGAATCACAGTAGAGTCATATGACATTATGGACATTAAATGACTATGAAGTAAAGATTAGCAAAAATATTATATATCATCTACTACTAATATTGTGAGGTAATCATTGATAAGTTCACAAATTTGCAATCAAAGCTTTGATATCAAGCTGAACATTTTTCAATTAGAATATGATTTATAACTCTATGATTATTTGTTCATGTTAATTTCAAAGTCTTTACATTTGTAAAAGGAAATACTCTTATTCTTGTATCAGTAGACACTCACAGTGAAAAGTTACATTGTCCAAATAACTAATAATAATTCCAAGTGCTTTCCTGAAGTTTTTCTTCCACTGGAAAATCAGTGTGATTATATGCTAAGCAGTGCACTATAAAATTGTGTAAAAATAAAAGTTTATTAAACTTATGAAACTGTTTTTTTGTTTCTACTATTTGGCATATATTTATAGCAGTGCTTGATCATAAGAGTTCATCTGCAAAAATAAGTGTCACTGTGTACTTTAATTCTCTAACAGCAATGGCTAGATTGCTTGAATATGCAAGCATTGACTATATGAAATACAATGCATGTCATTTGAATTTTGTCTGTCCTGAAATCGAAATAGATACTATCTAAATAATATTGATGAAAAGTTCTTGACAGCTCTTCAATGACTACATTTACACATATGTACATGGACAAAAGTTAAAAGCATTGTGTGTTTTTTTTTTTTTTTTTTTTTTTTTTTTTTTTTAAACATTGACAATTTGAAACAGTTCCAATTGGTATATTATGTATCAGTGATGTAATTGTTTTTGTATCAAGTGCAAACCCTAAGTTTTGCATGTATTGTATAGATAATTCACTTTGGTCAAAATGTCAACAGGTTCAATACATTATAAAACAGGTAATTTGAAACCCAAAGAAGTATATGGTATGTAATAACTACCCCTCTGATACTAAAATCTTCAAGGAATGCAGAATTGCAAGTCTTATCCAATTAAAAGAGAGACTTGGGCTTACAAGGGCTAGCAAGCTAGTGTTTTGCTACAGAATACTCAACACAGATGAATTGCATTAATATTGTTTACTCTGGTATTACTACCTGCCATGTTCAATGCAAATCATGGCTTTTCTAAGAGCAGTGAAAGGCTATAACTGGAAGGAATTTTACACATCTTGCCTCAGAAAGAAGTTTTTCTTTGAGATGATATTTATGATATTTAAATAATGGTTAAAGATTACATTACTTTCACAATTGCAGTGATCATGGTGATAATATGAAATGAAACTCAATCAAGATAGAAACATTTTAATGCTGACATTTATCTTTTTACCATTCCTGTTAATTTACAAGTCTATTTATAACAAATTTATCTTAACTGTTTTAAAACTACATGATGCCTGGTTGAAACTGTTTTGGGCAGCCATTTGCAGAAGATAAATTATCTTTGAATAATTAAGTTAATACAAAGTTACAAATGACAGGTTATTTATTTCTAATAATGGCAGGTTATTTATTTCTAACAAAGACAAATATTTTGTTTAACATTTTTACACTGACATATATCTTTGAAGTGTCTTCACCCTTAGTTTTTATGAGAATACAAACATTCAGTCAGACAGTTTACACAAGACATGGAGCTTTAAGAAGCTTTGATTCAGTCAAAATCTGTAATGGACTGCCATGTCTTTACCACTATGTACCCCAAGACTGTGTATTGACATTTCCTTTCAACTATGCCTGGTGGTATCACTATTTGATTTCTAATCTGATGGTGAACACTCCAAAATAAATCAAGAGCCATGACAAGTACTCAAGATCCAACCATGAAATAACATACCTGTATATAAAGAAAATTAATCATGAGTTGAAAGCAATAATAATTGGTCAGCTATAAATTTCAATCATTATCATATTGTCATGCATAGAAAATAATGTTGAAAAGGAAGAAACACTTCTTGGTGTCATAGCTTTTGTAGATTTGCTTTGACAACTGATCTTTAAAAAATGTGATAGTGACTAAGTTCTTTTAACCATTTACCGAACATGATTAAACTAAAAAATATGACCCACTTACTTGAGAAAAATACTTTAAACAGTATTTAACATAAATTAACTACATATGCCATACTGTTTGTTTATTTAGCTACACTGTAATTATTTACAAAAACGAGAACATTATATGTTATACAATAATATTTATTTTTCATTAATGTAGTTTAAGTAGCTTTAAGTATATATTTCTTACCAAAACGATTTTACAGCAGAGCATGCATGTGTATTTACAATGGATACTGACGTCTTTCATCTCACCACTGTCCTCAGTCAAAATATCTACAGGAGCAAAATATTTCATTGAATTTTATGACAATATACATTGGTGATATACAGCTTGACTGTTTGTGCTTTATAAAGATAATTATTATAAATAAATAATATTTTCAGTTGGAAGAAAATATATTCAACTAAAACACACTGATAATCACATTGAAACGTTTATCCGAAATATGCGCTGTCCGAAATTTCTAAACATTATATACTTCTGAGAGATAATCAGGTAGCGCTATAGAAAATTGATAAAATCAAATTCACCAGTATGGTGTCAGATGCGAATGATGTTGTATCAAAAAATAAATTTATTAGATTTACATGGAAATGAAAATATGACAACATTTATTGGGATAAACTGAATTTGAAATGACACACCCACCTGAAGATTATACGAAGTTGTCTTTCATTGATACTTGTTCACAAGATGAAACCATTTGCATTTCGTTACAAAACAAAGAACTCTGCCAATTTCCACATTTCATTTGCTTTTCCATGTAAGTTTTACTTTCCCACCGGCATACAAGTTATACCCAATATAGATAAGCAATGTTGTTGATATTTGTTTGTACCCGGAAGTGCAAAATATCGTGAAATCTCGCAAGTCACATGACGAGACTTACATACCCTATTCTGCCGGTGAATACCACATCATATTCAATATAATTATGTTGTGATATTCCCGGCAAAATATTATATTGACCTCGGCTATCGCCGTGGTCAATATGAAATCAAATTTTGCCGGTGAATATCACATCATATTCAATGGCTCACTAGTCAATTGTTGAAATTAGTAAATAAGTCACCAAATTGTAAATCAAAATTGTAAGATCTGAACATAAGATTTGCATTTGTTGTAAACGTTCGCCCCTTCATAATTATCAAAGTTGAATGTCTTGGTGATTTATTTTTGATTTACCAAACGCAATTTGCTAGCAACTTATGTTTGACAAAACGATCAAATAACTGTTATTATTGTCTGCGCCTAGAGTAATCCAATCGAAATTGTATTCATCTATTTGTATGTAAGACAATAGTATCTAAATATCAAGGACAAGTTCACTAAATGCAGTCCCACATTAAACGCCCAAAATTTAAGTCAAAATTAGAAGTTACAAAGTAACATTTTCAATTTTGCCGTGTTGGGCTTTCTTCTGTTTCTCTATTTTATAAATATTAAGTTTGTTTTGATACAGCAAATAGAAATGCACCTGACTCACTTTATCCATCTTTCCATCTTTCTTATATAAATATGATATGCTTAATCTGAATTCTGAAAGGAATGTTTTTACAGAACATGATCAATAGATATGATACGCTTGTTCTAAATTGAATTGTCTATCACTTTGAAAAGTATCAGTTATTTATTCTGGACGAATTATACTCTGATCCGGAACGCCATCGCCTTTGTTTACAATCTTATGCTTTTAAAGACATGAAGGCTCTTCAAATCATTGTGTAGGCAAATTTGTACTTTTCCTTATTTCAGAAAAAAATCTGGAAACAAAGTGATCCCTCGGAAGCATTAATCAGACCAAAATTACAGAACAGGCTCAATCTGCAACATTTTCAATTTTATTGTGTTGGACTTTCTTTAGGGATTCTATTTTGAGTCAACTACCTTATCTACAATAATTTGTCTATTGATGAAGAGAAATTATGATTACGAAATTGCCAAAATCTTCGCAAACATACTGAATGAAATTTCAAATTATACGTAAGTATGTCGAAACGACTGCATTTTTGGTTAAAAGTCATGTCCATATTTTTGATTATTTGTTTGATTTTTGTTTTGTTTTTTGTTAGTGTTTTTTGTTTTATGAGGACAACGTCCACCTTCTACTAAATTATGAAAACATACCATCAAAGAAGGGTCCCGTCAACATAGGACCACCTGCAATGAGCCCAGCAGAACACCAAGCAAAAGCAGGATAGTGCTCAAAAAACTACTAAGACAATAATGTAATAAATGTGTGTATAAACTTGATTGTTTATATACTCCGGGAAGTTACTTTAGATTATTCTTATGTTTTCTGTCACATTGACATTTAACTTGTCTTTATGGTCGGCTTGATCCAAATACGTATGTAAGATTATTACCCCATAATGTTATATTACGACACAATGGCGGAAAAACGTTGAAAATCCTAAATATATATATTATTGATGACTTGAAATCTATCCTGGGCTAAGGACGGAAATCTAACGTTTAGAGAAAGGAGAATCTCGTCAAAACAGGTAACAAGGAAATAACACAGCATTTTTATGACATTTTATTATTATAAATAAACAGTGCAATATATCTCACGCGACTGAAGGTAGTATTATCCTTGTGCACAACCTAAAATATGAAAGATGTTGTTAAAATAAGTTAAAGTAACTTTCAACTGTGTTGAAATTTAAATTATCTTATTTTAACAGGTACATGTATGTGTTTACCCGCAAGGTACAGAAATTTGGTACAACATCGCAACTTTGTATATATTTTGTATTCACTGATAGTGCCCATAAGGGGTATTGTACCTTAAGCAGCAATCAGACTTTCACAAAATAAATTTTATGAATCAATGACCCAGACGAAACAAAAAAATATAACAGTATTAACAAAAATCATTTAAGATGAATTGCTTTGTCACAATAAGCATGTCTAAGCCTCAGGGAGTGAACAGACAGACGGATTGTGTTAAAAATCCTATTTTATAAAACACAATTTCTCAAGAGATGTTATTGGAGAATAAATTTTATCAGTTTATTGCACCGACTGACCAATGATTATATCAAAATATGATAAACAAGATCAACAAGGAAGGCGGCGTTCAATGAACGCAAGATTGTGTGGAATGCTGATTTTTTTCGGTTAATCTGAACCTTGCAAGCCTTTCTAGCATAAGCTTTTATAAATTATGAAAAGTTTATATTTGTTTGCTGCACGTCTTTTTTATTATCGCCCGAAGATATCCATCAAAGCAAGATGATCACACACATCCATATATGCATCCTTTGCCTACTTACTCTTGTTAAACAATTTTGGAAGATTTTTTATGCCCCCGTCATATAACGGCTGGGGCATATAGTGTTACCCTGTTCCGTCATTCCGTCCGTCCGTCATTAGGTAATCATCAGTTTCCGTTCATTTTCTTAGTAACGGTTGCACACATTCAACTCAAAATTAACATATGGATATCTCATGAGAAAATGCATGTCAAGTTCGAATTTGGTCATGGTTCGATCATTTCTGGCAGAGTTATGCCCCTTTTACTTTGAAAATAATATGAAATTTTCAGTTCCCGTTCATTATCTCCCCAACGGTATTACACATTCAACTCAAACTTGACATATGGATACGTCAAAGGAATGCACAGGTCAAGTTCAAATTTGGTCATGGTTCAATAATTTTTGGCAGGGTAATGCCCCTTTCACTTTGAAAAAAATATGAAATTTTCAGTTTCCGTTCATTATCTCCCAGTTTTACCCATTTAACTCAAATTTAACATATGGATACGTCAAAGAAATGCGCAGGCCAAGTTCGAATTTGGTCATAGGTCAATGATTTTTTGCAGAGTAATGCCCCTTACACTTTGAAAATAATACGAAATTTACCGTTTCTTTTCATTATTTCCCCCAACAGTGTTATACATTTAACTCAAATTTGACATATGGATATGTCAAACAAATGCGCAGGTCAAGTTCAAATTTTGTCATGGTTCGATGATTTTTGGGAGAGTTATGTCCCTTTCACTTTAAAAATCATATGAAATTTTCAGTTTCGGTTCATTATCTCCTCTAGGATATTACACATTCAACTCAAATTTGACATATAGATGCGACAAACAAAAGGGCAGGTCGAGTTCAAATTTTGTCATGGTTCGATGATTTTATACAGGGTTATGCCCTTTAACTTTGCAAAAAAATGAAATTTTCAGTTTCCGTGCATTATCTCCACAATGGTTGTACACATTCAACTCAAATTTGACATATAGACACATATTTAATAGGAATAAGCAGTTCAAGTTCGAATTTGGTGGTGGTTCAATGATTTTTCTGGTCATTCGGGATCATTGATACCAGCACTATTAAGTGTTGAGAATTAAGTACCGTTCAAGCCAGTGCTAGGGGGCGTGAGGGATGTTGCACTTATTCATTATCCCTCATGTACAGACTTAATCAAACCGAGTCTGCAATTCTTATGTAATTTTGTTGTGATTAATGCTTCCGAGGGATCACTTTCTTTCCAGATTTTTGGACAAAGTTATCTCTCTTGAATGTTAGAAAAAAAATTAATTTTCAGTTTCAGCACTCATACTTTTGTTGAAATGTATGTAACCATTATTTTGGCTACAAATATGCAATATGCAATTTACAAAAGGTTAACACTGAATAGTTTCAGTGCCTTGAACTTTGTATAAAAATGGTTTTTGTTAACCTAATTTTGCCGTGTTGGGCTTTCTTTAGGGATTCTGTATTTATCTATTTCAATAGTTTTAAGGGCTTAGAATATTAATAAATGTCATGAAATGTGAATAACACTTGAAATAAAAGAAACATTTTTATTTTTTTAATGCTTAAAAATGTTATGAAATATTAATATCACTTAAACTAAAACAAACATTCTTATTTATTTTATGCTTTAAAATGTTAAGAAATATCAATTACACATGAACTGAAACAAACATTCTTTTATTCTTCGAAAATTTATGAAACATTAATATTATTTTAACTAAAACATCTACTTTAACATCGTCTTCTCTAAATTGACAAATAATAGAAGTTAGACATTTTGCATGGAATTGTGTAGTGAACTTCTTGCAAGATTGTACAAATTTTAGTCCTGGGGTAAAAACAGGACCAAAGTGTGCCTTGTAAGTGTCGCGAAATGTTTTATACAGTGACAGCTGCAGGATTACAGATGTTGGATGGTGGGATGGAGAAAGGAAACCTTTTGCAGCAAGCTATGTTGTCATCAGGGTGTTGTCATCTGCGGATGTTTCAAAATTCTAAATTTTACCAGTTCATGTTAAATGTTGAATTCTGCTTAAGCCGGTGCTAGGGGGCGTGGACGGTAACTTGCACTTTCCAGTACCGTCCATGAACAGGCTCAATCAAACCGAGCCTGCAACATTTTCAATTTTGCCGTGTTGTGCTTTCTTTAGGGATTCTGTATTTATCTATTTTAGAACAGTCTGTTGTGTTTGATGTTAACCTGAAGTCAATGGCCTAAAACGAGACTGAACGAGCTGAAGGGCGTATAGTCTGTACCAACCAGGAAGCAGATTTTCAATTCATCCTTAAGAAATCAGTTCAGGATGATAACATGGATACGGACGGAGATTTTTTAGCCACCAAAATGATCCTTAAAAACTCTGGAAACGAACAAGGTGATTACACAGCGAACTGAGGGAAACAGGAGGTCAAAATGGTTCAAGTGATCCCCCCGCCAAAGAAATCATATTTTAACCCTTGAAGAGCTGCCTTCGGGATTGAGGGAAAAGGTTGCGCTGTTCTATCAAGATATAGACACATATTTAATAGGAATAAGCAGTTAAAGTTCGAATTTGGTGGTGGTTCAATGATTTTTCTGGTCAGTCAGGATCATTGATACCAGCACTATTAAGTGTTGAGAATTAAGT